CTCCCTGGACAATTCTTTAACCAGTTCTTCATATAACAGCCTAATTCTCATTCATTTGCCTCTTCTTTGAAAACTCTGCTGACCTCTCTGTCCAAAATTTTGCTTTTTCCCTGTTTGGTTCTCATTACTGTGTTTATGTTTTATTTGTTTACTTTTTTTTTCTTTTTATAGGTCTAGTTCCATAAGCTATTTTTTTTTCTATTTTATTCCCTGCTACATTCTTGGCATTCAGCAATACAACTGGCACCATAACTATGACATAATGATGTTTCTCTAGCTAGAATGCTTGCAACTGAATCCACAGGGATATCTGAAGTCTGGTTTTGCTACACTTGAAGACACATTGACTAGTTAACTAATACTAAACTAATAGATGTTTAGCATCTATTTACACACTATTGTAGGATAATATAAATACAAAAGTCATACATCTTCCAGAGTTTTACCAGAATCTCTGAATTGGAAATAATTTCTTCCTCTAGTCCCAATACCATTCTTCATCCTGACTGGTACTTTTTATGATCTAACTTGCACTGTTGCTATTTATGTACTTTTTTTCTCTCTCAACTCCAGTGTCAGCTCCTTGCAGGCAGGGATTATATTTCCTAACATATATTGGCAGTCCATAAATAACCTTCATGTTCACAAAGGTATTAGGATGCTCTTAATATGGTAGTACACTGAAAATGAGTTGAATAAGAAAGTTAATATTATTGTTTACTAAGATTCTCTAGTTCTCTGAATAAAAAAAAAAGAGTCATATAATACCAAAATAATGAGGATTTCAACTGACTATTAATAAAGGAGTGTTTCCACCAAGGGTACTGTATCATGTGCGGGGGAGGACTCAGTCCTCTGCCCCTTCTCTGCTTTTGTTCTGTTTGTATGCACTGCCTTCTAGTTGATGCTCCCTGTAGTTTGCATCACAATAAAATGCCAAATATTTCCTGCCCACGCTGCTGTTTGGCTGCAGAACACGAGGACTATAATGGAAAGCAACAGATTAGAATATTTTTTAGATTTGTTGGTGATCTTTAAAGTGCCCATCTTTAGGAAAATATATTTATTCCTGTTACCAAGCTAAATCTCCCTTTGTTCTAAGGAGATCTTTGTGATTAGTCTGTAGTCTGAAAATGACCTATATAAATAGTGGTTACAATTTTTTTAAAAGACAAGATTGATGGAGAATTGTGGAGAGAATAAAGCCTGAAGCTTGTTTTTGTATTCAGATTCCATGCATAAAAGAGGAGAAGGGGGCAGCCCTGGATAAGTTTTCAAACAACTCACAAGCTGGTTGCCATAACTTACAGCCTGTGGGCTTGGGGACTAGGTAATCTTTCTGAATCATGCACACCTGTGAAATTGAAAGCTGATATAATCACAGTTCTTCTTTACCAAATAGCATTTTTGACTCAGTACTCTCCTGACAAATTCCAGTTCCTGGAAAGAATTTGAGTCTGTGGGTAGTATTTTTGTGTGCATATGGTGGGGGTGCAGATCATGAATCTGAAAACCAAGTTGACCCCCTACCTTCAAAACCTGAAGAATCTCCAAATGCCCTAGGAATCTGCATTTAGAATGACCACCAGAGGTGGGCCCTCCCTGGTGGCACAATGGTTTAAAGCACAGCACTATGAAGCTGTCTGCAGCCACTGCAGCAGTAGTTCAATCTCCCACCAGGAAGCTGATCCACATAGCAGCGTGGCAGACCTCTCCTGTCTGTCCCAATGCTCCCCTCAGCAGTGTATTTCAGTAGATCTGCCTGTTCTGCTCCCCACTCTGTCTCTGATGAACCCTCTCATCCCCCACACCTCTGGCCTTTACCCCAGTTCTTTTATGCATAAATAAATAAATCTTTAAAAAAATAATGTATGGTCAGCAGAGGATACACCCAAGTTTGGAAATTTGAGCATTATTGCTTACAGTAGTAGACATACAATAGTTCATCTCTGAAGTATCTATGCTTGGGAAGTTTTGAGGCCCTTAGATTGCTATCCAAGACTAGCCCTCATATATGTGGTTTTCTAATAGCTGAATTGACTCTTAATTGAACAACTAAGTAAGGCCATATCCAATTATGTAATTGGGTTTTTTATTTTATTTTTGTTGAGGTGTATGTTTTTCTTTCTTTGTGTGTGTATGTGTGTGAGTGTGTGTGTGAGGAGGGGAGAGAGAGAAGTTCTTTTCTATTTTTGATATCAGAGCTACATAAAACATGTTTGGAAGCATATTCTGTTCCTCAAACTTTTGTTAGAGTTTGAGAAGGACAGGCTTAGTTTCACTTTGAAGGTTTGGTAGAACTCACTAGTGAAACCATCCGGTTCTGGGCTTTTGTTCAAACGGGAAAGATTTTCCTTATCTGTTCAGGTTTTCTATTTCTTCCTGATTCAATCTTGGGAGGTTGCATATTTATAAGAATTTGTTCATTCTTTCTTAAGTTATCCAATTTTTTGAGATAAAGATGTTCATAGTAGTGTCTTATGTCCTTTATGTCCTTTGTATTTTGAGATGTCTGTTGTAATTTCAGTTATTAGAGTTTCCTGGTTTTTTTAATTTAGTGAGTCGAGCTAGAAGTTTCTGTTTTTCTTTTGTAAGAATCAGATTTTGGTTTCATTGCTCTTTCATACATTTTTTAATTTCCATTTAATTTATTTCTGCTCTTATTTTCATTACTGCTTAATAATGGCTTTGGTTGAATTTGTTACCCTTTTTCTAGTTTCTCAAGGTGTGAGATTAGACTTTTTATTTGAGATCTGTCATGCTTTATGATGTAGAACTGTATTGGAACTCTCGGTACAATATAAAAATCTTTAAGAAACTTTTTACCTGTTTATTTCCCCTCCAATCTCTTTTATAAGCTGGTTGTCAGTGGTCATTGTAGGACTGGAAACTGGTTCTTGACCGCTGCTTGGAGTGTGGTTGTAGCTGGCATCTATGTCTCCGCGCTTCATCTGGGTTCTTGGAACACTAAGGTCTCTAGAATTATAATAATTTTGTTAAGTTATTATAGCATTCTCTCATGTATGCATTATTTTACATAGCCCTTGTCATAAACTTATAAAGTATCAGAAGTCCAAAAAAGTGAATACTTTATATAAAGTCACCTAAGGAGCAAGATGAAAAGTTCTTCCAATACTGTGCATTGTTTTCATCTTAGTAAAGTAGGGAAATGCTAGTTCTTAGAAAGTATTATGCATTCATTCGAGGGGGAAAGCTGCACTAGTTTAATATCCTGGCTTTATCTCAGTAAAACAGAATTTTTGTCATATTAGTAGCAACTAAGACTTTTTAAGTTTTTTTTTTTTTTTTTTTAAGATTTATTTATTCAGGCCCTCCCTGGTGGCTCAGCGGGTTAAAGCACAGCACTGAGAATCTAAAGCCGCTTCCGCATGAGTTCGATCCCCACCTGCCCGGGAGGTGACCACATGGTGCGGCAGACCTCTCCTGACCCACCCGCTGCTCCCTTCAGCAGTGTACTTCGACCGTCTACCTGTTCTGCTCCCCACTCTGTCTCTGGTGAGGCCTCTTCCACCCCTGAGCCTCTGGCCTTACCCTAGTTCTGTATGCACAAATAAATAAATCTTTAAAAAAAAAGATTATTCATACAAAATTAGGATACAGGCCAGAAGTACAGAAGTGAGAGTCTTCACCAGAGACAGAGTGGGGAGCAGAACAGGCAGATGGATGAAGTACACTGCTGAGGGGAGCAGCAGTTAGGTCAGGAGAGGTCTGCCATGCCATGTGGATCACCTCTGGGGTCCAGGATCAAACTCCCACTGAAGTGGCTGCCGCTAGCTTGCAGTGCTGTGTCTTAACGTGTTGCACCACCAGGGAGGGTCCCTTTTTAAGGGTTTTAAGCTATCTTATGTACTTAGTCCACACAATAGCATACTGATGTGGATGACCTTATCTCTATCTAATAGATGAGGAAACTGAGGTCAGGAACAAATAATGATTTCCTATAGATCATATTGCCATGACTAATGGGATACAATAGTTAAACCCAAAGTTCAAATCATGAGTCTGAGTTTACTTTTTCTTCACTGGGACAATCTAGCAAAAGAAATATTCTCCACCATGGGTCTGTGACTGTGTAAAATGTTTAAAATCCTCTAGTTAAAGCTGGTTTCTAACATATTTCCTCTATATAAGTAAATAGTACAGACTCAGTTATTTTACAAAAATACTTGAAAGCAAAGAACTTCTTATCCATCATGGATCCTCTACTGTCCAGTCCAAATGACTACTCTGTAAATGAAAGAACTATATAAAAACAAATGAATGAAAATCTTATGTTTTCTTGTAGGAAAGTAAGTTTTCATGTGATTAGAAATCATATTATCCTCACCCTGGGTATTTACATTTCTTTTACATTATGATTCTTTCTCTTTTACTGAGGTAGCATTGATTTATATTTCTCTACATGACCCAAGGTAGAGATATCTTTTCAAATATATGGTAGCAGATTTCACCTACCACCAGTGCATCCCAAATCCTTGATCATAGTCATTTTATTTATTTTTTAATTTTTTTCATAGTCATTTTATAAGATAAATCCTGAAAAACTAATCTAGATGAACGTCTAAAATTGAATTTCTGGTGCCATTGGAGTTATGGCAGAAGAGCGGTTGGGACAGATTTTCTTTGGAGTCTCAAGTCCATTGCAGAGATGATTGCCCAGCAGGTTCATATTTCTTAAGGAAAAAGAATGCTTCTTTGTGTGAGCTATAAAATGTTCAGGAACATTCTACCTCCAACCAAGGACATATATACTAATAATTTTTATCATTCAGAAAAAGTAGGCTGCTTCTAGCATCTCACACTCATGCTTCTGCTAGGGAGCTGTAGGTTGGGTTCTGGATGGTTGAATGGAAGTCTTGGTGGTAGTATGGATCAGGTGGTCTCAGCTAATGCTCTGTCCCTGAACTCTTTAGAGATTCTAGGGTTCATTCAAGTGGTTGATGACAAGGAAGCATCTAACTAGTCTCTGTTGTCCACAGGTCTGAGGCGCAATTACAGATGTACAATCTGCAGTGTCTCCCTAAACTCAATAGAACAGTATCACGCCCATCTGAAAGGATCCAAACACCAGACCAAGTAGGTGCTTTCATAATTTCCCCTTCAGTCCTTTTGATTATATTTTGTAGTGGGATATGATAAGTGTTTTACTTACTTCACAATGAGTAGATGGCTGCTATATTTCTGTAACTCCAGTGCCCCCTGATATTCATGCTGCTTAGGCCTCTCCATATTGCCTAGCACTATGTGAAGAATGTTTTCTCTCTCTCTCTCTCTTTCTCTTTGGCATGAGTAATGGTTGAATTTTTTCTTCTTTTTAATTATTTTTCTTATTTTCCAAGGACAGTTCTGCACACTTTTACAAACTTCATGAAACTTTTAGATCTATACTTAGCATTTTTAAATATACAATATTTACAGATATTATCATTATCTCTTTGTAGGATGTGGCAGACTTTGGCATTATGAAGATAAATTCTATTAATGCCTTTCACCACTTACCATTACTGCATAAATATTGTCAATTAGTATAGAAACCTAACAAATCTTCTCCTATACTAAGTCATTCACATATATAACAATTTCTAATAAAAGGGAAGCTTTTATTAATTATTTTAATAAAACTTTTTCATAACTTCAAGCTGGAAAAACTAATCAGGTATAATTTCACTTTTATTTATACTGTGCATTTCTTCGAAAACCAGTGACAGCTTTTGGGGCATTTCTAAATTAGCTACTAGGAATGCTAATAAAATTGGAAGAAACAAAGAATATTTCAAAATGTGTATTTTTTGTAGAACATAATTGTTTCATTTCTCTCGTATGCGTTAGGAGAATCATTTTACAGATTTGACTGTATCCAACCCTATGAATAATGAAGGATTCATTCCAAAGACATTTATCAAGCACACACTGTGTGCAAGACTCTGAAGTATGAGCTAGGAAAGAAAAGAGGACTCCCAAGTAGGTCTTCCTCTGTGGAGCTCTCTCCTAGTTCAGGGAAATAAACAAAGAATTTATTCCCTAATACAACACTAAGTGTGTAAATGGAGATGTGAAGACCAGGCAGGAGAAGCCAGCCATGTTTTTCAGGGAAATTTGCAGAGGCTAAGCACATATAGATGAGGTCATGGTCTGATTTTTACAGGTGCTCTAACCAAGATTCTTACTTGATACATCCTTAAACTGTTATAAACACTTTTTGATTAAATATAATATGTGCTTAAAAAAATGAGTAACAATTTTCCAGGCAGGGATATGAAGATGGAACATTCCAGGCAAGGAAATGTCTTTGCAAAAAATACTGTCAAGACAAAAGTCACAAGCGATCATAATTTTAAGACAAAATGTAACCCAGAGGTATTACTGACACTCAGCTGCCCTCAGTATTGTGATGTCTCATGACTGAAAGCCAGTTTCACTACTTGCTTTACACTGATCCACCTGAGAGGCTTTTTTAATCAAGGTAATTCTTCAAAAAAAGTACTTGCCTGATTTGTTGTGGAAGCATCTAGAACATTTGTATTAGACACTCACCACCCTCTCCTAGGATTTTTTCATCATCCCTCCAACATATGTTTTAAGAAGTACTATATGCATTCTAATTATCATGCATCTGGTACAGACAGAAACATTGCAAACAATTGCAACAAGAAATGATAAGCTTTGGAAGAATAGCTTAATCTCAGTAAATATAAAATGTTAGACAATCATGACTTTTAGTGGTATGAATCACTAATAACTAATAATTTAACAAATAACTAGTACTTATAGTATCTTCAGCTTCAGGAAAATATGTCTCTCCACTTATACATATAACATTTTGTGTGCCAGGAAGTTTTGCATTTTCACATCAGTTATTTCATTTAATCCTTTTCATTGCCTTTAAGATGAAATATCATTATTGACCCACTGTGGCATATGAGTAAGCTAAGGCTAAAGAGACTGATGATTAGCCCTTGCCAAGACTAAACCTGGCAGTGCTCCTGCTTTTGCCCTTGACTCAGTAAGCACAGACACTGAGGAAGTGGTGAGCCAACAGCAAGTGCTGTTGATGGAAGTTGAGCAAGAGGCATCACTTCCCTGAAGTGATTTAATAAGTACTTGTGATGCAGAAGGGCTCATCTCCTGCTGTGCTTACTCTTTTACTCCAAACAAGACATAATATGTTCTTCCTGGGGAGCACAAAGATACTCTCTTCAAGAATCAAATAAGGACAATGTAAAGAAAAGAAATTCAGCACATCCTACTCTTCATTCAGCAAAAGGTTAAGAAAGATTTATAAAATATTAACAAAAATGATCAAACTTTAAGGGAAATTAAAAATAAGGTTAGTAATGGAAGATATCCTATAAGTATAAAAAATAAACTTAGAGGATACTGTTAACCATCTGATAGCAAATATGTTTTTTAAGAGTAGGTAAAATAGTTATTTAACAACTTACTAAAACTAATATAAGAAGAAATTAAACAACAAACAAACAAACAGCAACAGCATGCTATTAAAAAAATTCAATTCCTGGTGAAAAACTGTCATGGTATAAATCCCAAGGCCAAAATGATTTCACCTGCAAATTCTTCCTGATGTGTAAGTGAGAAATAATAGCAGTCTACCACAAGCTTGTTCAGGGATTAGATAGAGGAAAGACCTCTCAACTCACCTAATGAGGTCAGCATAACCTCAGTTCCAAGTCTGACAGAGATACTATGAGAAAAATTATGGAACAATCTGCCTCATAAACCAAGATAACAAACACACACATACACAGTATCCAAATTAGGAACAGTGATGCTCCCTTATCCACAGGGATACACTCAAAACCCTCAATAGATGCCTGGCACTGCAGGTGTCTTCACAGAAGTTACCTCATTTAATCCTTTTCATCGCCTTCAAGATGAAATAGCATATTGACCTACTATGGCTTGTGGTAAGCTAAGGCTAATGAGACCGATGATTGACCCTTGCCACATGCATAGCTGTGATAAAGTTCAGATATGAATGAAGCCCAGAAAGAGATGAGCCACAGTAATTATCAAATAGGACAGAATGGATGTAATGAAAATTCTAACTGTGGTCTCTCTCTCTTAAAATAGCTTATATATTATTTTCAGGCAGTGGTTGTACACAAGCCAATGAAAATGTGGAAAACTAAAGCATGGGTTGGGGCAGGGGAGGCTTATTCTATGAGGGCAGAAGGAACAGGCATGCGGAACAGATCTATGACAGTTATTTTCTCAGTTTTCATCTCCGAGATAATTAAGCCCTCCAAATATGAGTATGGCTTTGTCGAGGTCCCCTTTTAATTTTTGCTTTCTGCTTTTATGTTTTCAAGATCTACTAATGGATATTTATAAATGTAGGATTATATTTTATATATTCCTATTGAATTGACCTTTTAATTACCTTTTGTCTTCAGGAAATAATCTTTCTTTTACTAGTAATACTTTCCTCAAATATATCAGCTTTTGAAAGTTTCCAATATAAATATTAAGATGTCAGTAATTTTCAAGGTCTTGTATGTATATTTTTAGTAATCATTTCCACAGAAGTGTTGAGATGAGTCAAGATTATTAAATTGTGTAGTGGAGAGAACACTGAATGTGAGTCAGGAGATTTTATTTCTAGTGCATCCCTGGCACTGAGTGACCTTGGACTCTGAAAATCTTCAAGTCTCAGTCTGCTGATGATTCCCTGCCATGCTTTGCTCACAGTCCTAGGGTTCCTTCCTACGGATCCTGAATTGAGTCGTAAAAATCTTTTCAGTATAGGTGCCCAGTACCATTTTACTGGAGCTGTTAGTTCTTATGTATAATGGGGTGAATCATGATCCTCCCCAAATGGTTAACATACAAACTCTCAGAATATGGTCTTATTTGTAAATAGGTTATTTGCATATATAAACAGTGAAGAGTCTGAAGATGAAAGCATTGTGGGTTTAGGGTGGGCTCTAAATCCAAGCATGCTATCTTTATGTGAGAAAGTAAAGGAAGATTTGGATATACAGAACAGAAGGCTATGTGAACAGAGAGGCAGGCAGTGGTTAGGGTTATGTTTTCAAAGCCAAGGAATAGCAGGAGCCATCAGGATCTAGAAGAAGTATAGTTTCTCTAGAACTTTTGAAGGAATATGCCCTGCTGGTATCTTGATTTCAGATCTCTGTCCTTTAGAACTATGAAAGAACAAATTTATATTGTTTGAAGCCATCTAATTTGTGGGACTTATTTTAGGATCACCTTAGGGCTTTAATAAAATGTGAAATTTACTTGCTCTGTTCACAAATATTGCTGCAGTACATTTCACTGGGCAAATGCTTACTGCACTTCTTTGAGGCATGATGATGATGATGATGATGAAGATGAAATCACCACTGATAACTGGAGTGAAACTTGTGTGTGATTGGAGTACAGCAACCATTTAAAATGCTTTGGAAGTGCCATCATACCAAACAGATATAGCATCTCTGTTATTTGGTAGATACTTGCATCTCTAGTTTACAGGAAAGAAACTCCAAGTGTAAGGGGCTTGCTAGGGACCCCATGAAAAATTGGTGGGTAGTTCCAAAAGAAGAAGTTAGATTATCTTCCTTTATTATCATTACTATTGTAAAAAATTTTAAATTCTGTTGCTATTGGCACATTGCCCTTTGTAAGTAATAAAGAGGCTTTCCCCCCTTTTTGTTTTGACAAATGGCATAAACAACGTAAGTGCAGTGAAATTATCCTCCATTGTTAAGTAGCAAGAGAAATATTAAGGATCTAATGTGATTAAAAATTTAGAAATATAAATTCTCAGGACTTTTAGGGAATCTAGTCTCTCAGTTAGTACAAATAATTAAAATGAAATCTAAAGACACATGAGTATGTACTGTAGACTAATGAGCAATTCCCCCATAATGTACTTAAATTTAAGCTCAGGGAACATTCCACGCCTTGGGACATTATATTACTTATAAATAAAGGATATGAAAGTTTTCATTACTTACTTTAATACTTCTGTTACTTGAAAATGAGACACAAGTTTCTAAGAGAATACATCAGATTAACCTAAAATTAACATTAATTTCTAATTTATTTCTTCC